AGCCGCTGCCCGGGCGCGGGGCCCTGAGCCTGTGGGAGGGGCAGCGGCGGCCGCTCACACTCCCGGGAGCCGCAAAGCCCGAGCGCGGCGAGGGGAGAACTGGGGGGGCACACGGGGGCCTCTGCCCACATGCATCTGCTGCAGGAGCCCCCAGAAGGCAGCTCCTCCCTGCCGAGCTGCTGCAGCGGCCGAAGTCCAGCAAAGCCAGTGAGATGTGCCGGGGGGGAGGGGGAGGGGCGCGCAAGGTGGAAGTTTCGCCTAGGGTGCAAAATATCCTTGCACCGGCCCTGCTGTCAGGTAATTAGTGTCTGACCCGACCACAACTTCCTGCAGCTGGAAACATTTAACATCGATACGAACATTTAAAATGCTTAAAACGTATAATTTTGCAGAGCTGAACACTGAAATAAGCGATTCAAGTAAAAATCAGAAAAAATGCGTAAACCGAAGCGAGCTAGTCCGGCAACGCGAGACCAAGGCTGCCTAGATTCTGCCAGGCTTTTAACGGGGCTGCTTCTGATCGTGAGCGAGGCCTTGGCCCAGCCAGGTTCCCGCCTCACCCCCTGTTCTCGCCCAGCCTGGGCTTCCCCAACCTCTCCCGGAGACTCCCCTGGCCGGAGGGGGACTCGGCCCCGAGAACTGGAACAAAACTCCAGCCAAGCCAGGTGCGGGAAATGACAGCGAGCCTGTGTGACGGAGCAGGGAGTGGGGCGGACTGACCTGGGGATGTCGCAGGGGAGTTTTACTGGGACTGTCTGCATTGGTGCTGGATGGGGAGGGGATACCAGGGTGGGACTTCACCTGAGCCTGTAACCTGAGCCCAGGAGGGGAGTGGGGCCAGGTGACACCTTCTGTCCCAGAAACTGGACAAAGGCTGGGGGAGGAGCCGGGGGGGAGGCTGGGTGAGACGGCTGGAGAGTTGCAGTTTGGAGCTGGCTGGGGAAACAGAGGGAGCCCAAGGGCTGGGGTCTCGGCTCCCTGCCCCCCAAGATGGACCTGACTGAGGGATCCCGTTTTCCATACCTACAAGCTCTGGTCTGGACCGTGTTCCTGTCGTCTAATAACCCTTCTGTGTCACTGGCTGGCTGAGAGTCCCGGGGAATCGCAGGAAGTGGGGGTGCAGGACCCTGTCTCCCCCCCACACTCTGTGACACCCTGTTCCAACCAGCCAGAGGAATTCCCGGGGCTTGGCTGGCCGGTGGCCGCACAGAGCTAGCGGGGCAAGCCGAGGCTGCAGGCCCTCTGGGATCGACGGGCTGGGGGCTGACACCCCCAGCTCAGCGCAGACACGGGGAATCTCCGGCCCTGGCTGGAACAAAGCGCAGGCGGGCTGGTGCCTAGAGCTGGCCGAGGAACGTGTGGGACAGAACAAGGCCCAACGCCCCCATGACTGGCCCAACTCACCTGGGAAAAAGGCAGGACCTGCCCCGGCGCGGGAGGACTCGCAGCCTTCGAGGCAAAACTTCAGGGAACCCCAAGAGCTGTTTCCTTGCAGAGGCCGTGGAGAACAAGCCCAGCGCTGAGCTCCCGGCCGACGCCCCTGCCCTGCGCCCCTAGGACGCGTGGCCACGGAATGAGGAAACAGACGAAAGATAAACTCCTGCAGTCCTTGTTTATGTCACTTTCCGCTGCAGCCGCTGGAGCCTGCGTCGGGGCGGAGAAGAAACGGGGCAGGGCCCTCATGGGACTCCCTGGATCTCGGCTGGATTCTCTGCTTCGGGCTCAGCCCCTGGGTCCCAGCTGGGCCGGGAAATGATCTGGGAACGTGACCCCAACAGGCTCAGAACAAGGAGCCCCCCCCACACACACACACACACACACCACCAGTGCTGCTGTTTAAAATCTCCTGGATTTGGAGGCAGGAGGAGGCGGGAGGGGGCTGCAAA